GGGGCAGGGGTGCACAGAGAATTACTGCATTATACATGAGGCCCCGCTCTCATCAAGTCAAACTACTGCAGTACACTCCAGTACACAGCAGTACACCCCAGTACACAGCAGTACACTCTAGTACACAGCAGTAAACTGCAGTACACACTAGTACACAGCAGTACGCCCTAGTACACAGCTAATCCTGTCCTTGCTGTTTCTGGACTTTGATTTTCTCTTTGATCTCCCGTGGCTTTGATTTCATAAACGTTGGACAACGTTTGAGATGAAGTATTGAAGTAAAGTATTGATTGATAGAAGTTTTATATTAGTTGACTGTGTTGACAGACAGGAGTGACTTCAGATAAAACTTCACTGTAGGGATGGTACAGTACTGTCACTACTACTGCAGTACTGCACACACACACACATATATCTACATATATATATATATATACACGTGTGTGTGTGTAGTATATAGTGTATATGTATTTAACACACATATATCTACATATATATATATATATACACTATATATATTTACATATATACGTATGTATATGTGTGTTTTTCCTGTACTTTTGAAGACTGGCGTCCTAGAGCAGCGGTCTCAGACTGGGAGGACTCTGTGTCCTGTGTCCTGTGTCCTGTGTGGAGACACTAAAGTGCTGAACAGTAAATACTGTGTTCCATGTAAAAATACACAGTACACAGTCAGCAGAAATGAGAAACTCCCAGATACAGCCGAGTGTGTCTGAACATGTTTACAGATCACTGTGGTGAAGTGGAGCAGGAAGAACAACAACAACAACAACAACAACAACAACAACAACAACAACCACGGTGGGACTGAAAAACGACATCACCTTGTTTTAAACTGAAACCAATGGATTGTTCTTGATGTTTTTGATGTTTGTTCTGTTTCAACTGAAGCCTCCATAAATGACCTGAAACGGTTGAACGGCTGCCGCTCCAATAACAACAGTGCCATTAAAGCCCCGGTGGAAATAAAGGAGAAGTGCATTAAAGTTCAGCA